GTCTAACTCCTAAGGGAAAAATCCCAAAGCCGGCCCACTTGAAGGGTAGTACCTTCAATCTGGCAAAGTTTCATCCAAAAAGTAGAGATAGTATATGTATCTCCCCTGCCTGGTCCTCTGGTAAACTCAGTCTTAATTTTAAAAAAAATGGTTATTTGAAGTTTCTTTCATATTTAAACCTCATGTTCGGAATTTTAGGCTTTTCAAGTTTAATAGCGAACGTATATGACACGCGCACGTTATTCTGATAATCCTTGGCTTCTAAATTCAATGTTCTGTGTTTACCCCGATGATTGACATGGTTGTATCGTATCATTTTTGTGTTTCTAAATTTAGACAATTACTATATGGCTTCAAAAAATACATAGGGGTATATTTATTACCAGGGATAGTGTAGCCTGAAGTAATTTTGCAGTTTTACGGCGGATATCAGCCAGTTTCCCGCCGACGGCCTTAGATGTTAATAATTGTGCAAATAAATCTACTTCTCTCATTACGGTAGCACTTAACTGGGAAAAAAAAAATCGCTACAGTCCTATTACTTGCAGTGCCATTTGAATAGAATGAAAACTCCCCCTTTTAACAGACTATTCTAAGATACTTTATTGGGTCTTTATTCTGTGTTTTGTTCGCTTCAGAAAATGATGCGCTGAGGTATAGAGCATTTTACGGCTAATTAAATCAGTTTCGATTCGTGTCACGCACTGTTTTACCCAATATTTTATTCCCTCCGATCCAATTTGGGTTCAAACAAACTAATAACTGAACAATTCTGTTTTCATTTTATTTCTCCAATACCATGCTCAGGACTAACCTGTGTTACAACGGTTTGAATTTGTTAAGGTCTGTATGGGAATGTAACGGTTTTGCTTGAAAAGTCAATCATTCTTATATTTTGTGGATAAAATCTACTTACTCTGTTGCTGTGTTGTATTCTTTGTTGATTGCCAGCTCCTCAGGCCGATCTAACGCGATTTCGGGAATTACAATTACGAGTGGGAGCGGAATGTAGTGTTTTTATGCGGTTGGGATGCGGGATTCGCAAAGGGAACAGAGTGAGATACAGGATTTCCATTCTTATTAGTACATGACCACATAAATTGTTATTGACCACAGGCGACCCAAGCTCTCAATGTTATCTTTTTTTATTTTTTTCACTTTCATGCGAAAGTTCAGCCTAACGTGACATATGGCATATACTATTATATAACGACCGAATCTGACTACGCGAAACGTGACTCTGGCCTTGCAGCATATGGAGGTGTTGTGTTACAACGGTTTGAATTTATAAAGGTTTGTATGGGGATACAACGGCTTTGCTTGAGAAGTCAATTATTCTTATATTTTGCGAATAAAATCTACTTACCCTGTTGCTGTGTTGTATTCTTTGTGGATTGCCAGCTCCTCAGGCCGATCTAACGCGATTTCGGCGAGTTGTCGTTCTGTGGGTTCAATACCGAACAAAGATCTATGATCCGAACGTCGTTTAGGATAGACAATCCGAATTTCAAGACTGGTAGAGTCCGGAGTTCAGGCCAAAATTTACAGCTGATCCACGATCTGCCGTATTTTGATCTATTTTAGAAATCCGTCCATCCAATCAATTTATCACAAAAGCCCGTAATCCGTGCGCTTTTTTAAGCCAAATCCGTCGATCCGCAAACCTATTCACCCCCTCGTCAATTCCATCGGTATAACTAAGATGAATGACCTTAAATTAACGAAGCTTATAGAGATTTTAAAAGTATCAACTATGTCGGCGCAGTTCCTTAAATAGGAGATCCACGTGCGTGATTCAACATTGGGTCATCGAGAAAAGGTTTCACCGTCTTGAAGTAAAGTGATCTCAGTTCTTATTTTGGATGTAAACCGAGTATTTTAACCATTCCCAAGCTCCCGCTGTACCAAGGTCAAAGGATAAGTGTGCTTGCGCGTCCTAGGGACAAAGACACATTAATCAGAGAGCAGATATATCTGAAAAATTCTTTATTCAGCAAAAAGTAATCTACAAAGGCAGAGTTTGAACTATTATGTAAAATATGAAAACCCACTGTTAAAACACTCCATGTGTTATGAAAGTGTATAAATTGATCTCAGGAGGACTATTTAGATTAAATATAAACGTTTAATTCTGAGCTACAACTTGTGCTTATATCACAATGATTTGTTTAACTATCAAAATCCTGCTTTCCTCTGCTCCGCTGCTTCTCCCCGTAGTAGAAATAGCCAATCCAGTGCACTTATATTAGTTCACTTATATTAACCTCAGATTACTTCTACAATAAATCAATAGCAGGAACTAACTTATGTTGCCTACAGTACTTGTTATTATTATTATCATCGTTGCATTCTTTTTTATTATTGTAAAAAATCGACTTGCAACCTGTTTGCTTTGGCGCAACAAACATTTTAATCGGCATGTAGCCTTGCATTAAGCAAATTATGAACAAAGCTAGGGAATTCAAAACTGTGAGTCAAACCGTTTGCTGTTAGTAGAGAAAAGACGTAGACCGAATTTTTCTGAACAAAGTGTTCATAATTGACTTCAAATTTAAGTTAATGAAGCCTTTATAATTTGATCGACATGGAACAGTTTCTTCTTTTCTCTGTGCTTAAGGCGGGAACCTAAAATTCTGAAAGAAATTCGAAGTTTTGTTTTTGACGGAACTCGAATCTTAAGGTATTGAAGTTTTATTTTGACAAGTACTGTTACGGTAAGTTTAAAGCTCGTTTTCTCAAAACGAGTTATTTTCGCTTTCCAGAAAAGATATCTTGAGAAGGATTTATGCAATTGAGCTAAAATTTTCAGGATTTGTTGTTCTGAGTACGTTCTGTGGGATAAGCATAGAACTTTTCCATCCAGTGCATTCTGTCGAAGTTATGTATTGAAACGTATGCTAGATTTTCCGTATCAGATTTAACTGGTCATCATTTCACGTGTTTTTAACTTTTCAAAAATCTCTATGCTTATCCCAGCAAGCCATTTGTCTTCTTTTGTAAAATGTAAAAATTATTCCTTTTGATCAGTTCTTGTAGGAGTTATCTTTTCTCAAGTAAGCCCTGGCATGCCCCAGCAGGTGGCAGATTTAATCAGCCGGTGTCAGTTTACAATACAATTATAGGGTACACAAATATCTTTCTCATAATCTTTGGTCTTTGAGCTTTCTAAAAATGTATACTTTGCCATGGTTTGGAGTTAACTCTTAGTCACGAGAAAATGTTTGAAACATGGTGTGTTTTTAGGTCCCACCTTAAGATAAACGGAGCTAGAAGCTTTTTTTTGGGTCATCGCTCTACTGATAACACGAAATGAGTCTTTCTAGATTGTCCTCTTCGGCCTAACCGGAAACAAAGTAAATGAGTAAAAAATATGACGGAAATGAGCAAAAAAATGGCAAAAAGTTGCGCAACTTTATGTTTCACTCTTTTTCAAGCCAAGCGGTCTATTTTTAATGACTGCATTGATCAATACATGTACAGCCCTTAAAACGCGCTTTCAAGCAATAAGTATTCGTGGAAGAACATTATAACCTGGTACAAATAGCGGGGAAACTACGTTTTGATTGACATTTGTGTTTTAACTATCCATAGAAGAGAACAAGGACCAAATTAGCACATGCTTGCTGGAACAGTCAATCAAAAACTGCTCTATGAGCCAAAATTCTAGCTAACTGCGTTACTATTAAACAGTAATAGAGCATAAGCGTACTCTCTTATCCGCCATTTCAATGCTATTAGAGCGTGTTAAAAAATGGTTGTTTCCTTGTTGTTGTTGTTGTTTATTTTTGCCCGGTCTTTTTCAAGACGCCCATCTCTTGGAGGCGTAGATCATCATACGAAATGCGTATTTCCTGGTAATCACCACCAACATTTGGTTTGCCAACTTCTTGGTAAGTGGCTCCATTCGAGAAAGCCAATTTCTCATACCGAGCGGGGTCTTTCCACATGCTAGTCTCCTCGTACCTGACGATGTCTTCCTTTGATTCAGTTTCTTGTAACTCGTATTTTTCAGGCTTTGGAAATGCAACTTCAGCAGGCATCACGCCTGACGCACGCCTACGGCGCAGTATTTTGCTGCGGTGACAGTAGCGGATCAGATAAATGCCGAGGACAGCAAGGACAAATATTCCACCACATGAGACACCGATAATAAGAGGATAGGGGACCTTACTTTCTTCTGTAGGTTCTAGATTTTGATATTTAAATTTAAAAAAAAAAAACATTATTAATAAATAAATAAATGAAATGCGAGGAAAAAAATGGAGGATATCAGTAGTATATAGACTATGACCACTACGGGTTATATCGGGTCTCTCTTGCTGTGGACTCTTCCTATTACCTTCAACGTCCTTCTTGATTTTCAGGGATTCTGGATCGACGGTCAGAGGGCCCAGATTGCCGTCCTGTACAGCCTCTTTCAACGGAGTCAAAGCTTTTTCATCTTCCAAAATGTTTTTGAACAACAGCTGAAATTGCGCTACAACACTGCCCGGCCTAAGAAGTACAAGAGCAAATACTAATAAACAGGTTAATTCGTCTGAGGCTTCTGTAGAACCAACTCATAACCTTTCCTTAGAAACAAAATACGGTTTTTTCAGGCGCACCGAAATTTGGCTTGACCCGGACTCAACAATTTACATCTAATTACTCTAAAAAAAAATGAATATTAGACCAAACTAACCTTGTTTTGTTTACTTTGGCACAAAGGTCTATCAATATCGAAAGTATGAGAGAAATCGAATTTTTGACTGTGTCCGCGATTTTGATGATCATATCTGATTTTCGCTGACACTGACTCTTAAAGTGGTATATCCCCGACAATACATCAAGAAATGCTGTTCATGTTCTATGCAATTTTCTCTGCATACTAAACATGTTCGGGAATAAATAAATAAATAAATAGCGGAAATTGAATAGCTAGATCCTCATAACCAGCAATCAGCACTGCGTCACCCTATAAACAAATGTAATTTTAAACTGATAGAGAAATCTATGTTAAATTTTGTTAAGCGAGTAGCGTAATTTATACAGTCGACCCCCGATGCCTTAAACCCTCGCTAACTCGAACCCCACGCTAACTCGAACCAAAATCGATTTCCCCTGGGTTTCCGTCAAACATTTCCTGTAATGTTACCCTCGGTAACTCGAACTCTCGATAACTCGAACCTCCCGCTAACTCGAAGCAATTTTCGTTTCCCTTCAGGTCATTTTCTATATAATTTTACCCTCGATAACTCGAACCATGTCTGTCAATAAGTGACAAGTCAAAACAGACAGTGAACCATAGTCTAAAACATTAAATTTATTTTGAAGCGGTCGTGTGGTTTATACGAAATCAAGGAGTGTATTGTTCCATTTTCACTCGGCTTCCCTTTACTGCACTCCAGGTAGCGTGTCCCAACAAGTGTAAGCTTTCTATTGCTTTTTTAGTAATGATTATTGTCTTGTAATTAGTGTACTTGTATTATTTTCTAAAGTGTCTGTCATATTGCACGTCAATTTAACCCAAAGCTGTAAGTTAATGTCCTTTTTTTTGTAAGTAGCATACTGTAAGTTGGTTGAATGCAATGCGTAGATTGTAATGCGTAGATACATACCCCATAGACTGTTTTTGCAACCGTGGTGTAAGTTTAATTGTAACTGTTGTGATCGTTCGAGCAAATAATTAAAAAA